ATTTTTAACTAATATGGCTGCCTACATTTATAAACATGTCCACATGCTTATTTTTCCAATTGTATTGTGCTATAGGAAATTAAGTTTCTTAAAAATATAGGGTTATTTTCTTATCTAAGTGCCAAGCTTCTGAGTGATTTAACACTAAGAGGTTTTCAAAACCTTGATTTTAAAATAAATTGTACTGCGTTTTACCCAATTTTATTTAATAAAGTCTCAATTTTTGTTTCTCTTAGAAAAAAAAAAGTTAATAACATTGCAAATGTGCATTACACAGTCTCCCCATGTCTCAGAGCGGAGGGATGTGTCCCCCTGGTGGAAGCTCCATGTTCAGAGCAAGAGCCCCTGAGCCAATGGGAGCCATGACGCCAGGCAGGCCTGCAGCCCACAGCCCACCGACCCACTGTGACAACACATGGACCGCTTACTTTCCTGACACTTGGGCAAAGTGATTTCTGAAGGAGTTCAAGAAATGCATCTTGTTTAAGCCTTTAGTAGATATATGTGGAAGGAGAACAAAAGCGAGGATTGTTTTTAAAGTTTGTGATTTTTTGTACGCATGCTCAAGTAACTAATGAAATCTGGCCATTAGGTTTTAGCAGTGCCCTGAAACTCTGCAAGCAGTGAGGAATGATGAGAGGACCATCTGAGAGGTTGAGATGAGCACTTCATAGTCACCTAAATTTTATGTTGCCTTATCCGATGCTGCATTATACGGCTATCTGATAGAATTAGAACTATAGAGGAAATATTTTTTAACAGTTTGGGGCAAAAGCATCTTCTATTTGTAGGTGCTTTATTTAACACCCACAACTAGCTAATTTTGTTAATGCACTGCATTTTTGTGTGGAAAGCTTATAATTGCTGCAACAGTGCACTTCTTTTCTCAAGAGTCTGAGTTGGGTTTTTCCCCCGCTGAGACTTTATGCTGGGGATGAAATTGTAATTGTGGGATGTATGCTATGTACATTGAAGTGTTCAGTAAATTATATTGTGTGGAAGACTCAATTGGAACTAGAATGGAAAATAAGAAATAATCATTTGGGCCAGTCATTAAGCATTGGCAACACGTAAACAAGGAAATGTTAGCAAATAATTTACATGATAATGCAAAGTATTATAATATTTATATAAATATAAGAATCAGCCAGTTTTGGAAATTACTCATACATTTTCTATGTGAATGTTAGCTTTCAAGGCAGGTTAGTAAACTGATCATAGCTAACCATGCCACAGTGTACTCATTAAACGTGTTTATTTTGGCTAAAGTGACTATTGATTGGAAAGGATTCCTGATGTTTCCATATGATCACTGTTTCTCCCGAAGATATTGCTCAGAATTTCTAAAAATGTTGTTCAGCAGTTACACCCTGAATCATATCCCCTGAAGATTTTTATTGCTGAACTTGAACTTTATTCTGTTAGTCTGCTCAGAGATCTATTTTCTTTTTTCAACTTTAAAAGCTCCTAATGGGCATTACAGTGGATCTTGATTTTGTAAAGTTGTACGAAAGAGTAGAAGCTGTGACTGAATGTTTGGTACAACATTATTTTGTCTGACTTTCTAAACAAGACACATGGGCTAAATACATTCCTGGAATCAAATGAAAGCTCCTAGCATTGGCAGGAGCTATGAGTAAATAGATTCCTAATTACTTGTCCTTGACAGTGGTATCTCTGAAATGCAACAGAAATGACCATTTGGAAGCTGTCATTAATTGGCAGGTCATCAAATATAAGTTATTCTCATTAATTTTGGTTTTGGTAAGTTAATCTCCTCCCCATAGTTGGAGGTGTCTGAGCAAGCGATAGAACTCTTTCCCTTCACCCATATGCATGATCAATAATTAACTCCCTGAGGCTTCCCAGTCATTATGTTAGTTGTTTGAGCTCTTCAAAGTATAATAGGAAATGAAAAGACAACTAGTATTTTAAGCATCTACTAATATGGCAGATACTGTGCAAACTTTAGTATGAAGACTCAAAACCTCCATCCCAGTGACAAAGCTATGTCATTTATTTATTTCTGAGGAGTAAATTGTTTAGCACAATACAGGGCAAAGCAGTATATAGGAAAACATCCTCTTTAGACAAAGGCAGAAGCTGAGTAATGTTTTATATGCCTTAAAAGTAAAAAAAAAAATAGCAAGCCCTAGCCAGTTTGGCTCAGTAGATATAGTGTCGGCCTGTGGACTGAAGGGTCCTTGGTTGGATTCTGGTCAAGGGCACATATCTCAGTGTCAGACTCCTCCCTGGCCCGGGCCCTGGTCAGGGTGCATGCAGGAGGCAACCAATTGAAGTGTTTCTCTGACATCGATATTTCTCTCTCTTTCCCTCTCTCTTCCACTCTCTAAAAATCAATGGAGCTCTGGCCGGTTTGGCTCAGTGGATAGAGCATCGGCCTGTGGACTGAAGGGTCCTGGGTTCGATTCCGGCCAAGGGCACATGCCTGGGTTTCAGGCTTGATCCCCGGTGGGGAGTGTGCAGGAGGCAGCCGATCGATGGTTCTCTCTCATCATCAATGTTTCTATCTCTCTCTCCCTCTTCCTTCCTCTCTGAAATCAATAAATAAATATATTTTATAAAAATAAAATAAAAACCAATGGAAAAATATCCTTGGGTGAGGATTAAAAAAAAAAGTAAAAAAGAAAAAAGACATGACTCATGCGCCTTGAAACCTAACTAAATACCATGAAGTCAGCATTTTCTCTAATGTTCAATATATTTTACACTTTGAAAAGTATATATGCATCTTTTATTTACACCAAAAAGAAATTAATTGGATTAGGGTTCTAAACAGTGTTTTCCAATCTGATAAACCTGAAGATATATTCAGTGAGTGGCTCTAGAATCACTCCTAGCCCCAAAAGAGTTCATTTGGGGGCCACACCCGCCCCCTTCCTCTTCTGGAGCAGAATTTCATGGTGAATAACCAGAAATGGGTGGAAGGATATGAGTGGAGAGAAGTAGAGCTACATGAAGGGTGTAAGTAGATGTTTGACCTCCCTCCTGGATGTGAATGCATCCACATTTCCTAAACACTCTCACTCAAAGCCAGCTGGCTCTCTTGAGTCACCACACTATTTCTGCGTTCTGTCCTAAAGGAGACCATTGTTGGGTCTGTTGACTTTAACCAAAATTGAACACTCTCTAAGGTAAGATGGCAGACAATTCTTAGAAGCCTGATTTCAAGGCCTTAGTGTGGTTTCAGTGAGGTTACAGCTACAGAATTTAGACCATTATATGCAGCATGTAACCAATACAGGTTGCCATACTGAAGACGGACAAAAATTATATTGGACACTGTTGAGCACTTTCCATGTGAAAGGGATTGTTTTGTTTGTTTGTGTGTTAATCCTCACGCAAGGATATTTTCCCATTGATTTTTAGAGAGAGTGGAAGGAAGGGGAAGAGACAGAGGGAGAGTAACATCCTTGTGAGAGAGACATACCAATTAGTTGCTTGCAGATCTAACCTGCAACCGAGGTACATGCCCTTGATGGGAATCGAACCTGAGACCCTTCAGTCCACAGGCGGACACTCTATTCACTGAGCCAAACTGGCTAGGGCATGAGAGGGATTGTTTTAAGTTTTTTCATTTATTATCTCATTTTAATTCTCAAAGCAACTCAATAATGTAGGTACTATTATTGCTATTTTATAGATGGAGAAACTGAGGCACAAAGAGGCTCACAAAGGATCCCAACATTACACAGATATCAAGTAGAAACACAGAGATTGGAAGTGAACACACTGTTTAACAGTCCCATGTGCTATTAACCACTATGACATATTACTTCCCCAAGATTGGATATTGTGATACTTAAAAAAATAACTTAAATCATCCCAAATAATCCCTGACAGATAAGACAGTATTCAGGAAATGCATTTCAGTCATTACAAGTATATCAAAAGCTAAATAAAATGCGGACGACATTACTTTTCTGTTGAAATTTACCTGACTCAGGCAGGCTTACAGTATAAGGATCAGCTCTTCTATTAAAAATGTATTTTAAATATATTTTATAAACAGTTTTATTGTTTTATAAAATATGTTTGCTTATATTTATCTGATTAAAGTTCTTGTCAAATCTCCTCAGGGACACTTCTGGATATGCTGATCAATATTATAAATTCCTGCATGCAATATAAGTATTAATAATTAACCTTCCTTAGATGTGATACTGTATATTTAATAAAGAGCAATACTGATTTTATAATGATTTAAATTCAATTTTTCCTTTCATTAAAGGAATTTATTCTAAATCCTTAAAGCACTAAGACTCTTATTTTGGCAAAAAACAACTTCATTTAGGCTGTGAAAAAAATTTTAAGTTCTATCTATTCCTAAAGGACTTACTTTAGCATTAGTTTCAGTCAAATGGTGTCTGTTTTCTTACCTCCTTGACTTCATATGTTAAAATATTTCAAAATAAATAAATCTATCAAGAAATTGTCTTAGGTAAGCTCTGAGTGACAACGAGTTGGAACCCAGCATTCAACATGAGATATCTGAGACCCTAATCATCATTTTTAACTTTACTGATAAAAAGACTTCTGAAGCCCTTAGCCGGCTTGGCTCAGTGGATAGAGCATCAGCCTGCGGACTGAAGGGTCCCGGGTTCAATTCCGGCCAAGGGCACATGCCTGGGTTGCGGGCTCGATCCCCAGTAGGGGGCGTGCAGGAGGCAGCCGATCAATGATTCTCTCTCATCGTTGATGTTTCTATCTCTCTCTCCTTCTCTCTTCCTCTGTGAAATTAATAAAGAAATATATTTTTTAAAAAAAGACTTCTGAATACATGGGGACATATTTTTTGGTGTTTTTTTTGTTTGTTTTGTTTTTTAATAATCAATCTCTTCAGAGGGGTTGCTATTTTAAATCTTTATTTTTAAAACTGCACCAGGTAAAAGTGTATAATTCTACATTCACTATTAAAATACTTGTTTTATAGGTAAAAAAATTTGGAAAGTTGATTTCCCCCATTTTTGTTTTTATAGATGTTCGAAGAAGAACAATTTATGAATACCACCGAGTAGAGTTACAAATGTCAAAAATTACCAACATTTCAGCTGTGGAGATGACCCCATTACCTAGTAAGTTAACATCTGAACACACCTAGGTGGGAAAATGATTTGCAAGTTTGACGATCTGGTCTGTTCGCCAATAATAATAACATGGTGCTTGGCATGGACAGGCATCTTGCATGAATACAGGATGGGTGGTTTGTTTTTATTTTGACTGAGCCATCATTATTGTTGATTTCTCCATCCTCCCAACTAGTCTGGATGACTGCATTCTCTCCTGTTTCCTAGCGTGCCTCCAGTTCAATGGTTGTGGCCCCTGTGTATCCTCCCAGATTGGCTTCAACTGCAGTTGGTGTAGTAAACTTCAAAGGTAAACAAGAATAATACCAAAAATTTTTGAATTTTAAAAAGACTTGCTGCTTCTGCTCTTCCATTAAATTTTAAATGTGCCAGGTGTGTTGATTATCAAGTGTGTGTATATTTAAAAAATGCCATGACCAAAAAGCATTAAAAAATGCTTACACATGGAAATTTTTGTCTTTTCCTTTACCTGGTTGCTCAAAATTATCAAGAATCATCATGTCAATAAGGTTGTTATCTGACATACATTTGTAATCTCTATGGGGCTGAAGATAGGTGATGGTTGCAATTGAAAAGTCTTTAAATGGATGCTTTTGGTCCATATTCTACAGAAGACATGGTATTAAATATCTTTACTATGACAAGGAGAATTTATTCTCAAGCACATGAATATTTTTAGAAAATACTGTAAATATCTCAAAGGTTCCTAGCCAGGATGAGACACGTAGTCTGAGGGTGAGGAAGAGAGTGACACCAACTGGCCTTCACAATAGAATGGGCGGCTTTGGTCTGTGCTGTAACTGATTGACTTTGAAACTTAAGCTGCCTCACTTGTCAAAGAGGGTTATGATTGTCATGCATGGTAAAGAGGATTTCTCAGTCCTTAGAGCTTAGAAGATTCTGAATGATCATTTGTTAGAAATACAGAGTGAAGACCTTTACACATGTTTTGGTATTTACTCAATCATTTGTGCATGAATTTTGTCCCCAGCACTGGGAAAGCATCAATGAATAACATAGAAGTGGTCCCTGCCCCCCACGGAGCGTAAGGTCTAGTCTGTGTGAGAGTAAGTCCCCCTCTCACCTTCAGAGTCTGTGATAAATCTGCTTCTCCCTCCAGGTGGAGAACCGAATCCTCAAGCTATTAGTCAGTGCCTGTGGCCTCAGAGTGTTCTGCTGTAAGCTGTCTCTGTCTTATCATCTTGCTGCAGCATTTGCTGCAATGATAGAGGCATGTTCAGGAATATTTTAAAAGTTATCGGAGTATAAAGAGTAGAATGCCAGTTCCTTGATAACAAGCTTTAGGAAACATGTTTAACTTGCTAACTTTGGGGCAACCACTACATTATTCTGGATAGAACCATATTATTTATTATAATTTATGTTTTGTTTTCAATTTAACATGTTGTTCCAATAATTTCCTTTGGGCAATGGATTTCAAATAATGAAAAAGCAAGCAGGCAATTAGCGTTCTTAAGAGTAGATTTTAACTAGCTGCATCTCCAGAGTGGAAGAACTGCTATAAAATCAAGGGTGTGTGGCTATTTATATTTATATTTTGATGACATTTCACAAAAATTATACGCATGTTAGAAATTATTCCAAATCTGTTTAGATAATGACCAAAGTGAATCTAAAGAGATGGCATTTTAATATGCATATTTAAGGAATGCTGAGCTCAGACATGAAAAATGCCCAGAAGAATGAAGTAGAAATCTCTGGTCTGGGGTGTGTATCTAATTCAAATTCCAGTTTAGTGACCAGCTCCTCTGAGAAGTCTCCCTAAACCACAAGTTTGTGTGAAATGGCCCCCGTGTCTCCCTGGCGTCCTGGACACACTTTCATCATTAGCATTTAGCTGTTCATTCGTCAGTCTCCTTCATGGGCTCTGGGTTTATTAAGCATGTTTTGCCCTTTTACCTACAGCACCTAAGAATGTACCTGGTGCT